CTGGGTACTCCTGCCCAAGGACATGTTCCCTGTGACCTACTTTGTCCATCTGGGCTGCATGTCCTAATAACGCATTCAGTTATAAACTCATCAATGGATTAATCCATTGTGAGTTGGGGTCATCATGGTCTAATCACCTGCATTCAGCATAAAGCCCTTGATACATGAGTCTCTGGGGGGACCATTCATATGTAAAGCATAACACAGAGGAGTAAAATAACAGTCATGTGTTTTATGATCTAGGCTTGAGAGTGGCACACACAATTCTGTTGGCCAGAATGCAATCACATGACCACATCTTAGTAGAGGGGAGCCTGGAAATAGACTTGAGTGGTGGTTCTGGGAGGAAGAGGAAGCAGTTTTCTTTACTAAAGAGAATGGATGATGAAGAGCAGCCAGAAACAAGTGTCCACCTGCACTTCTGAGAACAGCCCAACTCCACAGGTCTTCTCAGGGTTCCCAGTGTGCAGCAGCGTTGGTCCAAGCTTCCCAGCTGGGGCCTTCTTTATGATGGCTTTGACTCCAGCTTCCTCTTGGATCCTTGCCCTCAAACCTCCTGACTCTGAAGCTACGACAGAGCTCAGGGATTCTGGGTCAGCCGACAAGTCCACTTGTGTTCTGAGGACCAGCAGGAGTGCAACAAAGTGTGAGAGAGGACTGCTCTGGCCCGGAGCTGCTCAGAGCTACACACCAGCTCACTTAATCCTTTACAGTTGTCCTTTACCTTGGTCAGTAGCATCTTCCTCTTCTCCTTAACCTGTAGTTAAGGGTAAACAGAGACTAGATAGGGAAAGTGACCTGTCTCTCACAAAGAAATGGTATCCCGTCTGTCTGAAGACCCGGGCCAAGGTGCTTATGGGCCAACATCACTGTCAGCGGCAGCTGATCATTCACTCATTCATTCATTCACCTCTGACTGTTTACTGTGCACCTGGAATTAGGCCAGGTGCTAAGCAAAAGAAAAAAGGGAAAGAACTATGACAAGGGTACGATATAGGATCTGACTTAGAATTGAGGTGATCGGCTTCTGTTGGTTGAATACCTAGAGGCAAACTGTTAATAAGGGAAGCTCTGTAGTTGAATCTTCCATTATGGTTTGGAAATGAATGGGCCTTTAGGTGGGTAGACCTCTGGAGAAACGAACAGACAACCTACTTGGTGTTTCAAAGATCATCCATCTGATCTCCTCATTCCAGATCTGTCTTAGGTCTATGGTAAGGCAGAAACAGCTGTCACTTACTATGTGCCCTGCACCAGACACTGCTAAATGAATTACCCAAATGCAACGGTTTACGTCATTTTCCCAGCCACCTAAGTTGTCAGCTCACCTACCCTTGTCTTTCAAGATGGGAAACAAAGGCTCCAAAAGCCTTGAGGAAATGGCCCAAAGTTGTACAGCCATCAAACGGCAGCAGTGGGACTGACACGGAGCTTGTCTGCTGTTGAGGACCATGAATTATAAATTGAGTCTAGGGGATGTCTGAGGCTGTTCTTGTTCTGCCCTTGAGCCAGACTGGAACACTGTAACTCTGCTTTTTTCTGTGGCACTCACAGGGCAAGATAAGACCTGGGGAGGACACCTGGGGAAACTAGTTTCCTTATTGCCCCTGTCTCATCTTGTCCTTGTCCTTGTCCTTGCAAGAATGCATTGTTCCTGCTGGCCCACTGTAATCGCCATTACTGTTCCTGGAAACACTCTCTTTCCTTCACCCATCGTGCTTGACTCAGGTGTAATGAATAAATATCAAGGTTCTGGGTGACTCGTGGCCTTTTGTTCCCCAAGAACAGCCTTGGGCACCCCCCTAGACTCAATTTATACTTCATGGTCCCCAATAGTCTACCCTTAAAGCCTAAGTTTGAAGTCTGCATGTTAAAATGGAGACAGCGACTATCCAGAGGGTCCTCCCACCATCCACCCCGGAGTGCAATCCCACCCAGTCTGGAGGGTGGTCTGGCATCTCCAGGAGCTGCTCTACGTTTGGAAAGTCAGCTCTGTGCTGTGGAACTGACTCGGGGTGACAGGGCCCAGTCCTGTGGCTCCGGAACTCTGAACAGAGCCTGGGAACTGAGATTTCACTTTCCTCTCCTGGCCTCATCTCTCGGCTGCTGATCTCAAGCCCAACAACAGTCAGCCGTCTGAACGGGGCGTCTGAGGACAGTTCTTCAGCACCTCCAGGCAGAAGCTTGGCAGGGGAAACACTTCTCCACCCACTTGGTTTCCTGGTCCGTGATGGCTCTCCCATCTGGCTCATTCATTCATGTATTCATTCAATAAATTATCACCGAGCACCAAATCCCTGCCCTACTGTGGACAAGGTATTGAAGGCAGCAGGCAATGAAGGTAGGTCGGTGGGAAAGACAAGCTCACCTACATAAAAAGAGAACTTTAATGTAGAACAAGGGCCGGGGATACAGCTCAGTTGCATAAGAGCCTGCCTGGCAAGCGCAAGGTCCTGAGTTCGATTCCCAGCACCAAAAAGGTAGCACAGGATGAGGGCCATGGGAAAACCGCAGATCAAGTCCTATGTCAGTTTGATGTGAGGGGAGAGAGCACCTCCAGATTTGGCAGGAGTGGAGGAGGGGTACACATTAAGAACAGTTTCTGGGAGGTAGAGCTGGGCTTTGGAAGGATGGGACTGAGAGTGTGCAGTCAAAGGGAAGGACATTCCAGGTGGTAGAAACAGCACGAGCAGAGGCCTGGAGGCAGGAATGCAGGGTGATGTCTGAGCAGAAAGGAAGCAATTCCATCCAGGGAGGCAGTGTGGGAGATGAGCAGGGGAACCAGGATGGTTGCCCAGTGGGCCAACGACTCTGCACTGCATGTCAGTCTCAGGCCAGCCCTGGGGAGTGGGATCCAGAGAGTTAGAGATAGATCCAGAAGTCCCAGAAGAGCTCTGACCCCAGAGGTACAGGCCTCACTGAGGACGCACTTCCCCCACCCTCCGCTGCTGTGATTTAATAAGCTCTTAAGTGCTCCAAAAATACATCTCAGGCCAAGTCGGTCGACAGACTTCAGAGCCTCAGGGCTGGAAGGGAGTTTCGAGAGAGCATCACATCTCATGATTTAAAAAAAGAATCACAGAATCCCCAAACAGAAAACACACACTGCTCTAGTTAAAGCAGGGTGTGGGAGCCTCCCCATTTGATCTCCCCGGTGCTCCCCTGCAGGAGCTCCTGGAACACTCCTGGGAAATCTGGGATTCAACAATTGTGGTTCAAAAACAACTGATCCAGCCAGTGTGGTGGCACGCCTCTGTAATTCCAGCACTCAGGAAGTTGAAGCAGGAGGAGCACTGCAAGTTTGAGGCCAGCCTGGGCTACAAAGTGTGTTCAAGGCCAGCCTGAACTACATAGTGAGACCCTGTCTCAAAAAGACAAAAAAAAGGTTTTTTAATTAAAAAAAAAAACCAACCAATCCAGCCTACTCCCAATTTCCTTCTACAGATAAGGAATCTGAAATCAGTAGAAGAGCTAGCAGGGCATTAGGCTACCCGACTGCTGGTTCGGGACTCTTTCCTCTACTTTGTGCCGAAGATCGGGGAAGAGCACTGGAGGAAGTGCATAGATGAAATGGGTACGACCTGCCCCCCCATCTCTCATAGCCATGCTGTCTGGGATCTGGTGGCTGACTCAGCCTCAAACACCTAACTCTGTGGCCTGGTGGCAGCCAGGGCTGTGCTGGCTTACTATGGCTTATCTTGCCCCCAGCCTGCTAGAGGAGGGATGCAGGGCCAGGTCCTCCTTCTACCAATACATATTGAAAATGGAGAGGTGGCCAATAAAACAACTTATGGGCCTTTTAATCCCAGGGCTCGGGAGCAAAGCCTGAGTGAAGGAAGGAGGGAAGCTGTGGGTGCGTGGGTGCGTGTGTGTGCGATTGCCAGCTGGCCAGAGGAAAAAAGTGAAGGGCAGGGGCTGGGAGCAGGCCTGTGACTTCCTACCCGGTAATTGTTCCTTTAACAAGGTGCATCTCACTTGAGGAAGTAAGAGCCACAAGAGAGGGCCTCCAGGACCCCCAGCACCTAGCCCAGGGCAAGCTGCAAGGCAGGCGTAAGGTAGGTGCCTTGAAATACCTGCACGCGCATCTGATAAGGAGGGTGTGCTGGTGACCTTCTTTCTGGGTCTGTTTAGCCAACACCTGAGGCTCTTTGCAGCCCACTGTCCTCTCCCATGAGAGAGTGACATCTCACTTCCTCTCGCAAATGGGAAAAACACCAACAAAAACTTTGGCAAGGTCTAAGGGGAAAGCAATGGACATGGGGAGCATCCTTGGCAGGTGGGGCCTTGTCACCCCTGATGTGTGGAATCCGCCCCAGCTTCCCCGCTCAAATCCTCCTGACCCTGCATGGGCTCCACCAGGGCCAGTTCCGGGAAACAGAATCATTCTGATCACTGGCAATGGCAGCAGCCACTCACGTGGGCTCTGGGTAACTCTGGGATCAGTGCCCAGCTCAGAACAGAACAAAGAACGTATCTGAGCTCAAGACTCACTCTTGTCACAAGGGTCTGGACAGATTTCTCCAGCGCTTTGGAAGAAAATTCGGCTGTTCTTCCTTCTCCCTGACAGCCTGCCTTCCTCTCTCTCATCCCGAGGGAGACATACACAATCTATGCCCCATGCTGCGACATAAACATGAAACCTCTCATGAACTCACGGCTCATAAGAAGCCCAACCTCAGTCAGTGCTCAGTGCTGTCTCCCTGCCAAATGTCCCAGACACACTTGCGTCTGAGTGCCCGTTGTGCAGACATTGTGGGAGGCTGAGACAGACAGAAGATGCTCCTCAGGGGCTTGGAACATGTGGTTTTCAGACAAGGCATATGCTACTGTCTCCTCCCCTGACATTACAAGAACAGCTTCCCGGCAGCCACCACCACCTCCATTCTGGGAGTTGACTCCAGCTGCTAAAAGGGGTTACTTCTGCCCTTCAGGGTTCTGATGAGAATCTCACCCTCCCCCCATCCAGCAGGCCTGGCATCGAACACAACACAGGGGTAGTGACAGGGCTGAAAAAGCAGATCCATTTTATTTACAACGATCAGTTGGTGACATGTAGATCTTTGGACTTTTGGTAACCCTGTGGAGACTCCTGGGCAGGGGCCCACTCCCTCTATTGGGGGAACACACTGTCTTCCCTCATCCTGCTATGTGAATTCAGCTGCTGTCAAGACAGCTTGCCCCTGGAGCCTTGCTTGACTCAGGGCATCTCTGCTGGGGGAGTCTGTGTCTCTACACATCTGCTGAAGTTTCCCTTACTTCCTCTGGAGGCCCGTCTTGGTGCTGTTTGTGGGATACCTACAGTGGTCCATACTTATCTGTCTGCAGAGAGGGGGCGATGGGGAATCCTGTGGGAATACAAGGCCCAGGCTGGTGCAGAGCTGTCAGAGCTGTTACCGGGCCAACCTATCCTTTAAACATCAGTAGGACCATCCTAGTCTTCCAGAGGCAGAGCAGTGAAGTTGCGGGAGTCCTCCAACAGGTAGAGAGGCTGAGCAGAGTCCAGGATTCTGCCCTCTGTTTATAACCTCAGACTCAGTGTCCATCAGGGACCTGGCCTCAATTCTCCCCAGCCACTGGATTCTGCTCCTACAAGAAGGCCTTTCCGGGTGGTTCTTATTACAAGATGACCAGGGCAGGGCCACTGCCTCTACCCGGGCCAAGGTTCAAACCCACCCTCCTGGATTTCTGGAAACTTCTCCCGGTTCTCCTGAGAGGATGTTTTGGAAAGAAGCAGGGAAGTGGGTGGACAAAAACACTTGGTGCAGAGCACAGGGACACTTCCACAATGGAGGGCCCAGAAAACTCCGGGCTTGGAGAGAGGGGGGATCCCCCAATAGTCAAGGGCATATCAGGTGTCACCCTGAGCCAGGACGAGGGACAAGGCGATCACAACTGAGACCACGAGGGAGGCGGGGTCGGGGGCCAGGGAAGCCGCAACGGCAGCCAGATCAGAGGCTGTGAGTTCAGCGTGCCTGTCCGGCGCGCTCCCGGGGGCCGCCTTTCCAGCGGCGGGAGTGCGCGGGAGGTGGCGGCGGCGCCGGGGCACCCCGCAGGCTGCACGTCCTCAGCTCCCGCGCCAGGCTCAGCACCTCCGGCCGCTCGCGCTGAGGGGCTCCTCCCTCGCTCTCCTCCGCGTCCTCCTCGTCCTCCTCTTCGTCCTCCTCCTGGATGCTGCTGAGGCGCGGCGCTCCGCGGGCGCGCTCCGTCGGCGGTGGCCGGTAGGCACACTTGGCGTTGAGCAGGCGGCGCAGCGGGGCGCGGGGCACCGAGGCAGCGGCG